AGAGCAAAGAATATCACCAAGAATAAAGGCTATTTTTTAATGACAAAGGTGTCAATTTATTAAGAGGACATAATAGTACTTACGCAACATAACAGAGCTTTATTTTTTTAAAGATTTTATTTATTTATTTACTTATTTGAAAGAGAGAGCACGTGTGAGAGAACAAGTGGGGTGAGGGAGAAGAAGGCTCTCTGCTGAGCAAGAAGCATGATATGGGGTTAGATGCTGGAACTTGGGGATCATGACCTGAGCCGAAGGCAGATGCTTAACCGACTGAGCCACCCAGGCACCCCCATAACAGAGCTTTAAAATATATGAGGCAAAAACTGACAGAACTGCAAGGAAAAAGAGAAAAATCCACAATGGAATAGATTTCAATATCCTCCTCCCACACAAGCATGAACTAAAAGTAATTATGCTGAGTAAAAGCGAGACAAAAAAGAGTACATACTGTATAATTCCATGTATATAAAACTCCAGGAAATGCAAACTAATTTATCGTGACAGAAAGCACAGCAGTAGTTGCTTAGGGACTGAAGCAGGTACGTGGAGGAACAGAGGGCTAGTTACAAAGGGCACAGGAAGTTTTGAGGATGATAACTAAGTTTAATTATCTTGATTATGGTGAGAACTTCATGAGTGTGCATATATGTCAAAATTTGCCAACCTGTACACTTAAATACGTGCAGTTTATTGTCAATTATCCCAATAAACCTATTTAATGTGTGTATGTGATATAAAATCTTCTGTTATTCACCAGGCATGCTCCAGCCTAGAAGTAAAGCACTGAAAGATGGACAGTGGAACCACTGATAACAAAATCAATAGTCTTAAAAGAGAAAACAGACACCAAATGCTACAAAGTACAATAAAGTCTATGACCAGGTACAGTAGGAGAGCAGATTACAGATTCTAATTTGTACAGATTTTGTAGTATAGATTCTAACTAGGTAGTCAAGAAAGGAATCTGAGTAACTAACATGTAAACCAAGATGAACAAATGGAGTATAAGTTAACTAGGTGAAATATAGGGGGAAAACATATACAAAGACATTTACACAATGAAGAGTTTAGGAAAAAATATGTACAGACTGTCCCCAACTTAAACTGGTTCAACTTAGGATTTTTCGACTTTGCAATGATGCAAAAGCAATACATATTCAGTAGAAACTGCACTGTGGGAATTTTGATTTTTTTTCCCAGGCTAGTGATATGCAATAGGATATTACTGGTGATGCTGGGCCATGGCAGCAAGGTACAGCTCCCAGTAAGGCACATGACTGATCATGAAGGTAAACAACCCATTCACTTACAACCATTTTGTACCCATACAACCATTCTGTTTTTTACTTTGTATTCAGTAAGTTACATGAGACTCAACACTTTATTATAAACTAAACTTTGTGTTAGATGATTTTGCCCAACTCTAGGTTACTGCAAGTATTCTGAGCACACTTAAGGTAGGCTAGGCTAAGCTATGGTGTTAGGTAGATTAGGTGTATTGAATGCATTTTTTTAATTTAACATGTGTTTGTCTGGACATAACCCCATCGTAAGTCAAGGAAGACCTGTATAAGGTAAATGCCCAGAAATGGAATTGCTGGGTCAAAGGGCAATCACAGTTTTATAAAAGAGGGAGTTTTTTGCTTAATTTTTTGGAATACATAAACTGACAGTTACTGTTTATGTAGCAAAGGGAACTCTAGAACAATTTACTAACATTATTTAAAACAAGAGAATAAAAATAAACCAGTATTCCAAGCTCTTTGAAACCAGAGCACATCTTCACCCTCACATCCTAAATGCACAGTTTCACACACCATCCACTAACATTTTGCTGAATTAATGTAAACTCCTTGGGTAGCAAAGAAGAAACCAAGTTGCCAAGAGGAACTCCTCAATCATACCTCACTATCTCTAGAAATGACAGTTTTTAAAAGAATTAACCTCTCCATCCTCCTCCTCAGGGAGCAATTCTTAATGAAAACCCCTCACATGAATTATTGCAAAAGCCTCCAAACTGGTCGCCCTGACTCTATTCCTCCAATCTTCCAAATTCAACCTCCACAGAACCTAAAATTAAACCACTCAATCTCTAAATCTATTTCTTCTCTATACCTAACACCCTAAATGGCATCTCATCACCTCCAACTGTGCATCCCAAACACAGACTCCAAAACCAACAATGGTGAAAAGAGGAGAAAACAATGACAATTTAGCGAATTGTTAATAAAGTTAATGTATTCTGTTTAGAGGACTATTGGGAAAGTTTGCTTCCTGCTTTTTTGATGTTAAAATACCCTTCTGCTTATGAAAGAATGGATGAGGACATCAGTTTTTAAGAAACATCTCCCATAAGGAGCTAGAGTTTATCAAGCTAAGCCAAACAAGTCAGTCATAGCAAGACAAATACCGTTTGATTTCAGTCATATGTGGAACTGAAAAACCAAAACAGATGCACATGGGGAAGGGGGGAAAAAAAGAGGGAGGCAAACCATAAGAGACTCTTAACCATAAAGAACAAACTGAGGGTTGCTGAAGGGGAGGTGGGCAAGGCATGGGCTAAATGGGTGATGTTAAAGTCCATCAAGGAGGGCACTTGTGATGAGCACTGGGTGTTACACGTTAAGTGAAGAATCACTAAATTCTACTCCTGAAACCAATATTACACTATATGTTAGCTAACTAGAATTTAAATATAAACTTGAAACAACAACAAAAAAGAAACATCTCCATTTAGCAAATTAAAAAGTTGGCAAATCTTTGACAGCTGAGCTTTATTTTTTTCATTGTAAGGGCCAGAGAAAATGTCTGGGAAACACTGACTTACACACACCAGAGGTGTGGATAAAGTCCACAAGGCAAACAGTGCCCTCACCTATTTTTCTAAGTGGTCTCTACTTCCCCAGGAAAGTTTTTGCTCCAGCTATACAGGACTGCATCATTGTCTTACACACAACCTACTTACTCTCTCCCATTGCTCAGGCTTTTTCAGGATTGGAATGGCCTCAATACCAATTCCTCCTTTTCTTCATGCACTCTATTTATTGAGCACCTACAATGCTAAGCACTAGGGACAGAGTAGTGAACAAAAGAAAACATTACTGTCTCCATGGAGCTCACAGTCTAGTGGAGGAAACAGGATATCAAATAAATATAAAATTAAAAACTAGGATGATACTGCTTTACAGAGAATGGAAAGAAGGAGACTGGAATGGTGGGAAAGCTAGTCAATAAACTACTACAGTTCAGGTAAGAGATAACTCTGATTTGGAGAAGGGTAGAAGCAAGGAGAAGTCAAATTTTGAGCTGACTGTATTGCTGACAGACTGAACAGAGGGACTAAAAGAAGAAATACTCCATGACTCCAACATAAGCAACTATATAGACTCGCACAATAGTCCCAATTTTTTATGCCTCCCTGGATCTATGCCCTTTGCTATGAGCTTGCTACACTGACCTTAAGGCTTGTTTATACGTCTTGTTTGGACCAATGGGACAAGAGCAAACTTATTCCAGGCAGTAGCCTAAAAAAAGTGCCTGTGCACTGCTACTTTTCTTGGATTAAGCCTGGGCTAGCCTGCTAAAAATGAGAGACCACATGGAGAAGAGCTAAGCAAAGACCATTTGAAATAATCTTATACCAGTCTATAGCCAGAGAATCCCCAAACATATGAGGAAGTCCAGCCAAGATGAGCGGAGCCACCAAACCACCATAACTGAACAAAGATGCAGGAATGAGTCCAAGCCACTACTAGAAGAACCACCTACCTAACTTGTAGACTTGTGAGCAACAATAATTGCTTACTCTTTTGGCCACTGAGTTTAATGCACAAGCTAAACATAGTGATACCAATTACTGACATGGGGTAGAAGAAGGAAAGGAAGGGAATTAAAAGAAAAGCTAAGCTCATCTTATCTTACCCCAGTCAATGCTTACCTCTCCTTCAAATCTCAACTTAGATATCAACTCCTCCAGGAAGCCTACCCAGATCCCCTGGCTGGTTTGGAAAGATACTGAAGTACTACTATTACGTTCTGTACATAACCCAATCACTGCCTTACCACACTGTTTTGTAATTATGTTTATACTTTTCTTCCCAAGAAGCCAACTGCACTTTTATGTTACAGACTGTATCATATTCATCTTGATATCAGCTTGTAACATAAAACAGGCTCTCTCCATATTTCCAAATTTTATAAATCAATTAATAAACACTTACTTGATTAAAGTCCTTTAACTCTAGATCAGTATTTCTCAATGTGTGACCCACTCACAACATGCACCAGAACCAGCAGAGGTATGTATTAAAAATGCAAATCTCTGGGCTCTTTAACGAAAATGTCATTCATTACCTCGTAAGAAAGAACAAGGATGAATTTTTTGGCCAGCCTCAGATACACAAAACAAATAGCAGAAGTGTAGGTACTAAATCAACTTTTCCCCCCAAATTTCTAGAGATGTTCTCTACAATAATGTCCTCAGTCTGACAGCACCTCTGTAACTGAAAACGCTCTGAACTGCAACGGAGTTTCTCTTCTACGAAACGGGTCTCCGCCAGAGGAAACAGGAGCTAGGGGTCCTCCCAGGAGGTGTGGCTTCTCAACGCACAAGGTTACACACGGTTACAGGGGATGCTCGAAAGCGAAACAAGTCCTGAGTTTTCTCCGCAGCAGGGCCCAGGCCAGAGACGGACAGGCGACCGAAGCCCAGGCAGCAGCCGCGTGCCGCTTGACGAACCTTGGAGCCCGGGAGCCCGAGCCAGCGCCTGCCCAGGGTCTCGCTCATTAAGAGCCGCGCCAAAGAGACTCCCACTGGGTTCCGGGATGGGCGTCCGTCTCCAGGGCGACCACCCTCGGTCCACCCCAGCCCGACGGGCCGTGCGGAAGGCCCCGGTCGCCTGCCCAAGTCAGAATGGAAGAAAATGAGGGAAGGGTCCGGCCGCTGGCAGCCGACAGGGGCAAGGACTAGAGTGCCAGGGGGCGCCGCCGCTTCCCACCTGCGTCAAGCTCCAGCTGGTAACAGGGCAGCGGCTCCAGGGAGAGCTTGTAACCCTCGAAACGGGGATCCAACAGAGGTCTCTTCACGCGCAGAGAGCAATTAGCAGCCACCTCCATAGCCTTCCTGGGTCGTAGCGTGAGAATTAATAAAGCTCTTGTTGAAAGGTCCGCGCTTCGCTCGTATCACCGAAGCTCCCAGGCGGCGTGGTTCCCATCCCAGAAAACGCTGCGGTGCGGGATGCCCTCTGGGAAATGTAGTGTCCGTGAGAAAGTTGCATGACGGGCTAGGTAGTTTTTCGGAGACTTAACGCCCGCACGACAGCGTGGTCTGGACTCTCTTACCCAGAAGGCTGAGCTACCAGGAGGCGGCCCGCGCTGGTTAAATTCTCACATTTATAGGCAGGGCGGCGAGACCCCGCCCCGGAAATGCGTGTTTTAGCTTTCTGTGTGCTTAGGTGCCCGAGCTACTGAGGGTCTAGGTCCGGGCAGCCGAAGAGTGTGGTAGGTAACGGTCGTCAGCGCAAGGGTCATTTCGTCGCTGGGAAGGGACGGCCCTCGCCCGCGGTGATGGTGGTGAGCTATGCCCGTGGTCCTCAGGGCCGGGACCCGGGCCCAGCCCAGGCTCCTTTCGATGTGCTGTCTTTCGTTAGCTTCCCCGACCCGCGCTCGCGGGCCTGTAGGGCTCTCCGACAGGGCGTGCAACTGGAGTTGGCCTGAAGCCAGTCCACGCTTTGTTTTCTGGCTCCTCCCCTCCCGCCTCTCCCGCTGTCTCCGCCCTATTCTATTTTCCCAAAGAATGTCTGAACTGGGAGGGATCCCCTAGCGCCCTCGTTTTACCAGTGAGAAAACTGAGGCCTTTGAGAATTGACTTGTCCAAGGTCACTATCCGTATTTTAGGGGCCAAGGCGAGATCAAGTTCAATATTCTAGGAATGGTACCGACTAGACCTTAGAATTATTTTGGAAAATGTGAGCCTCCAACTACACGAGCAAACATTTCTCAGTCCTTTCTCAGCCCTTCCTTTTTCCTGTTCCACTCAAAAAAAATTTTTTTCCCAACTCAAAACTCAATTGCCAGCCTGACTTTTCATATAGGCGAGATGGGACACAGCAAAAGTGGTCCCAAGTTAGTGACAGATTATGTGCAGTAATGTTAGCTTTTTCCAAGTGTTACATTCTAACCTCCCTCTCCTTTCTAAATCGCTTTGGTCTTGGTTGTCTTTTTTCACTGAAAATTGAGAATTTTCTAAGTTAGGAATTAGTTGGAGATTTGTTTTTCCCTTATCCTACCAGCAAACTTTGATGAAGACCACACACACAAACACATACTTGGAGCTAGTTTGGCGGTTGTAATTCTGGGTACATTCTACTGAAAAGTCAAGCACTTAGAGCCGAATCTGTAACTTTGATTTTTCACCAACAGTGCTTAATCTTTTATTAGTATTTAGGTTATGTGGCTTCCCCGAAATTTTGAATGCAGTTAAGGTGCAGAAATGATTAGCAGTCAGTTATGATGTGCTGTTAAAGTGTTTTGGGGCTGCTGGGCTCAAAGTGCATGAGTTCAAATCCTGCCTTCAACACTTTCTATCCTGGTGCCTCAGTTTTCTCAATTGTAAAATACAAATTATGTTAATAATTCTTACATAAAAGAATAAGTTTTGGGAATTAAACGAGGTTAAAAAAAATCAATGTGTTAACCCAGTACTTGGCACATAAGTGTTGCATAAAAGTTAAAATAGTTACTGTTATCCAAAGATTGATTAATAAAGAGTATATGGGGGAAGAAAAATTGTAAAGTGCATTAATCAATATGACTTCTTGGGATGCAGTAAATAATATTCAGAGTAATGACATTGTTAACACATTGTTGAAATTTATCACCCCTTCAGGTGATAGAATGTTAAGTGTGTTGGGATGCTTACCTAGAGGATTTAGAAGAAAATGCTTTGTATGTGTTTTGTATCTGAAAATACATGTTGATGTTCAGGTTAGCAAGATGAACAAAGATGCGCAGATGAGAGCAGCGATTAACCAAAAGTTGATAGAAACTGGAGAAAGAGAACGGTAAGCAATAGATTGTGTTAGTAAATTACATTTAACGTCTTTAAATTATAGTTACGTTATATGTAAAAATCTAAATATCAAGGAACAAAACTGATGTCAGTGGAAGGAATTACAGAAAATTGAGATTATCAAAAGTTTCAGTTCCTAACATCTATAAAAAATAGGTGTGTTCAATATTGCATGCTTAAAGGAAAGTGAGTCATCTAGAAAGATGAACAAGAAATGACTCAAAGAATGTATAATCAAATGGAAGAGAAAAAAAATCCCAAATAACTACAATTAAAAACATAATGTTACCCAATTTTTAACAGAGAGATAATTTGGTAGAACCAGTTTTCAGTTTCTACACTCTCAACTTCAGAGCAGCATGTGCTGTTCCTACTCTCTGAAATATTATTCTTTCCCTGATCTTTAACTAATTCTAGCTCATCTTTCAGGTCTTAATTTAAACATCACCTCTTACAGGAATCTGTTAAGTCCCAGATCCCTTGTTCTAGCCTAGCATTTAATCACATATTATAACCACCTGCTTTGCTTGTTTGTGTCCTCCAGTGTAATCCAAGTTCCTTGACAGTAGAAATACCATTGTATCCCTAGCATCATCCCTAGCACATAATTGGCCAGGGTAAATATTTGAAGAATGAACAGGTTTGGAAGTACTAAACAGAGACTCAGGAATCAAGAAAGGCTTCCAGAAACAGGGTGAAAAGTTGCATAAGAGAAATATATAAGGAACAGGAGGGATCTTTCAACTCTACCTGGGGGTTAAGGTAATCAGTTACAAAATAGTAAAAGAGTTCCTTCAACTCGGGAAAAAGATTAGCCATTCTTCCAGCCAATAAAGAACAGAAGACATTCTAGGCAGATGGAACAGAATGTGCAAAGTCACAGGGATTTGTTACAACATGATAATGTTCTGAGGAGCTACAGAATTAAAGCTAGCAGGTAAAGTGTGAAAGTGATGTTGCTGTAACAGTGGACAAGAGGAGTGGATTTTGTATAAGTCAGAATTCTTTCATTTGTAAATGATAGAACTCAGAAACCGGCTTAACCAGTGAAATATATAAGCTCATCTAAGTACAAAGTTTAGAGCTCGAAGTTGCTTCGGTCTCCACTGGGTCCAAGCACCCAAAAATTGTTACCAAGAATATGTCTTTCTTTTTCTTTCTCAGCTCTGTTTTCTTCTGTGTTCGCTTTATTCCCAAGCAGACTCTACCCACAAGGTGGCAGAGATTAGCAGTTCAGAGTTCATGCCCTCTGGCTCAGACTACCTTTCTCCTAGTAGTTCCAGCAAAGTACCTGGCGTGATTACCATCTTACTTAGGTACATAGGCCAGTTATGGTCAACCTTGCTTAGGTCTCATTTCCAATGTTGGAACCCTATTTAGATTTCTTACACTAAGAGTGGTGTCAAAGAAAGGTCAGGAAAATGGGTGATGGGTTTGCAGAAACATCTGTTGTTGACTTTATCCTTGGGTGGTGGGAGTCATTAAAAGATCCTAAGAAGGGGGATGACTACATCACTTTTGCTCTTTAGGAATATTAGCCTGGCAATGTGGAAGAGAGACTTGAAGGGCTAGACATAGATTACAGAAGAACATGTTAGCAGATTATATCAGATTAAAAATGGAAAACAGCAAAAATAGAAAGAAGAACTTATAATTTTTTAAAGTAAAAGCAGCCCTCAATATGAGAAATGAGGAAGAAGACATCCAGAACAATGCCTTGGGGAACTGAGAGGATAGTATTAGCAGTAATGAGGAAAGGGGGTTATTTATGTTTATCTGTTTTAGGATAGTATTAGCAGTAATGAGGAAAGGAGGTTATTTATGCTTGTTTTTTTTCATTCATGCAGCTTAAAATTACTGAGTTTCTACCATATGCTATATCCTCTTAAGGTGCTGGAGATATGGTAGTGAACAAAATAAAGTCTGTTCTTTCATGGAGCTTACATGGGAGAAGACAGAAAATAAGTCTGTATTATGTAGATGGTGATAAGTTCTAAAGGAAAAATAAAACCGAGAATAATGAGGTGTGTATTTGAGACAAAAAAATAAAGAAGGCTTCACTGATAAGAGGTCAGAAGGATTTGAAGGAATGAGGGGACTCCCAAGAGCCAAGGACCCAAGACAGGAGCTTGCCTGGTATTTTGATCACCACATGGAAGCTCATGAGCCTGAATAAATTGCATGAGGAGAAGAAGAGATAAAGTCAGAGGCATAGCTGGGGAGGGGGGCAAGATCATGGAGGATTATTTAGGCTGTAGCATAGATTTGGAATTTTAAGTAAATTGGGAAGCCACCAGACCCTTTTGAGCAGAGGAAGGAGAGCAAAGTATATAAGGGAGGGAGCAGGGGAACAAGTTAGGGGCTTTGGTAACAGTCCAGTCAAAAAAGAAGATGGCTTGGACTAGGGAAGTAATGGCAAAGGTGGTGAAAAACATTTGAATTGAAGTATATATTTAAAACTGGAGGGGCGCCTGGGTGGCTCAGTCGTTAAGCGTCTGCCTTCGGCTCAGGTTATGATCCCAGGGTCCTGGGATCGAGCCCCACATCGGGCTCCCTGCTCCACGAGAAGCCTGCTTCTCCCTCTCCCACTCCCCCTGCTTGTGTTCCCTCTCTCGCTGTGTCTGTCTCTGTCAAATAAATAAGATCTTTAAAAAAAATAAAATAAAAAAATAAAACTGGAACCATAGGAATTGCTCCTCTGGATTTTATGTATAGTGTTAACAGAGTTGCTGAGTGAAGGATGCCAAGTTTTCTAGCCTGAGGAACCAGGATGGACAATGGCATTCTGACAGGGAGAATCGGTTGAAGTGGGAGAGAAGCAGGAGCTGGGTTTTGGCTCTATTAAGATGAAAAGACCTAATTAAATACCAAGATGGAAATGTCACGTAGTGAATGGTTAGAAATATTGAAAGAGAAGTGGTTTGGTTTGGGACATGACAAGTTCAAGCACTGAGAAATTATTTAGGTTGAAGATTGAAGATTTGTAAGAGTGGGTATGGCAAAAGGATAAGAAAATATTGGTAAGAAAATGTTTTATTACACCCATGATGCCATTAGTTGCTATACATACCATTATTATTATTATTTTTTTACCAGTAGGGTAAAAGAAGATACTGCCAATTAAATTATGATAGGCATACCAATTACTGAATTGTTGAAATGTGGGGAAAAAAACAGTCTTAGAATCAATGAAATACCACACTTAGTATATAATTTAGAAGGTTACTGGAAAAAATTGAGGGGAAAGTTTTTGAGGTTAGAGAGGGATATGATGGGGAAGTAAGAGAGCTCAAGGATAAGAGTCTAGTCAGAGAATAGATTTTGGAGTTTTAAGATTTTGAGGTGCAGCAGCTTCAAGCTCAAGTAATACCATTTAGAAGTTGTACAAGATCCCCAATATTCCTGTTGGTGGAGGTAAGTAGAAAGTGTATGAGAAGGCCAGAGAGTAGAGTTTCTTGAGAATTTACTGATGATGAAAATGAAGTCCAGAGTTCAAATGACTTGCATAATGTCAAAGAATTATTTAGTCATAAAACCAAGATTAGGTCACAGTTAAGGTAAAGTTTTTGGGATTAGAAGGCAGGGAATTTTTCATTGAACATTTGAACTTTTGCTTCAAACATTCCTACCTAAAATATTGTACCTTGTTATAGTTTAATATGAAAAATTTTCTTTCTCAACAGCCTCAAAGAGTTGCTGAGAGCTAAATTAATTGAATGTGGCTGGAAGGACCAGTTGAAGGCACACTGTAAAGGTAATCAGTTTCATTTACAAGATAAGCTAATTTCATTCTTCTTGTTGGCTTGGGGTTCACTAGAAAAATAATAGGCAGTATTTTAAGATCTATCGAGTGCTGAACATAATTTTAAACAAATAGAAAATTCAATCTTCTAGTAATGATTTCCCCCTGTCTCCTTTTGGTAGAAATAATTCTTGAATCTTTAGAAATTTTCTTTTTTTCTTAAAACAAGTGAGGCAAGATTTTTTCTGGCATCAAAGTATGCATTCCATCCTTTTTCAGTGTGCCTACTCAACGTGAAACATTAGTTATTCCTATGTTTTTACTTTATAACAAATTGAACACTTTATGATTGGCAGACTCCACGGGAATTTTATCTCCTGGCTTTAACAGTGTTATTTTTGAAAATTTACCTATAAAAGATCTTAGGTAATTACACTTATTTTTTTAAAATGTAGAATGGAAGCTTATAAAATTGCTAGGTATCTATGATGATGCCACTAGATAGTTGATACATGTCATGAAGATGAGCCTCTTCTAGCTCAGCTTTGGTATACTGGAATTCTGGATATTTTCAGTGAACTCCTATTATATTGTAATGGTTTCTACAATTAATAATAGAGACTATTTATACTACTAACCCTAAAAAGGCAGTGTGGCACATTAGAAAAAGCATAGTTTCGGGGGTCATATAGACCTTCACTGGAAGAGACTGAAACTGGATTTCAGCTCATGTTTGGATGAGTTATTTACTTTAAGCCTCAGTTGGGTCACTTGTAAGTGGAAAAATGTCCAGCCCATTAGATTGTTATGAATATCAAATGCCATAAATCACCCAGCACATAAGAGTGTTCCAGTAAATATTAACTCCTTGCCCTCTTCTCTCTCCTTTGGCCCAGCCTAGAGAAGAGAAAGGAACAAAGGAGTTGTTCTATTCTTTAATTTTGGGCAATGAAATTACAAGTTAGACTCAAATAATAGCTTTTTACCCCTTCCATACATTCAAGAGCTGGTATGATTATGGTGAAATAAGATCTGTACAGCTTTTTACACATAATTAGATTTGACTTTATAGTCCAAATTCATTCTAAGTGTTATAATAGAAATAAGATCTGTTTCCAGCTTTTTACACATAATTAGATTTGACTTTATAGTCCAAATTCATTCTAAGTGTTATAATAATTGTTAAGTTACAGGTTATTTAGCTGAGAGATGAACAGGCTTTTAAGATTTTGATCTGGCGAATACTTAATGTGTTTAAGGTTGAACTAAATCTTCATTAGAAAAGAAAAAAAGTGTCCTCTTTTTTTTTAAAGACCAGTCTGCACTCTAAAAACATGATCTTAACCCTTCCTCTATGAAAATCTTTCTTACAGATAATGATTTTAAATGATATGATTTGTTTTTTGCTTTTGCATAAGAGGTAATTAAAGAAAAAGGACTAGAACACGTTACTGTTGATGACTTGGTGGCTGAAATCACACCAAAAGGCAGAGGTAAGGAATACAAATTGTGTGAAAGGAAAGGTGTGCTGAAGACATGATTTCTCTCTCTCTCTCTCTCTCGCTGGTTCAGCTTTTCTTTCTTTTTATAGGGAAAAACAACCTTTCCAGAATTATTTGGGTACTTGCATTTCCTCATTGGGAAAGATTATAATTGCCTTCCTGCTTCTCTAGCATAGTCTTGAGTAATACATGAGATAAGAGGTATAAAATGTTTTTGGACTCTAAAACAGTATACAGATATAAGTTGATAATAGTGGTTAAGACAGATAATTTTTAAAATGTGGGATTTTTGTAGAGGCAAGTATTACCTGAAGCTAGGATTTATAAATTTTTATTAGATATGGCCCAATTTCACTTAAATATTTAATAATTCAAAGTTTTACTCCAGCCCCAGGGTCAATGCTCTTCTCTTGTTTTTCTTTTTAAAAATAAGTAAAGCTCTGTCTTCTTAAGTATCTAAATTAAGAATTTGGTAGCTCTAAAACTTTGTGTTCTGGGTAATCTGTATTTAAAATTCACACTACCATCATCTTCATTTCCTTACAGAAGGCAAAGGAAAGAGATGAAATAGTATATTAACATTTATGATATGTAATAAATATTAAGAACATTACATTGTTAGCTCAGATGTGGCTACATTATTTTCATTTATTTTGTGAAAGGGTTTCTTTTGGTAATTTTAAGTGAAAGCAGATAAATTAGATAATCCATTATCTGTTTTGTCACACAGAAGTAGTAAAAAGAATTTAAGTGTAAAAAGTAAAAAAGTTTGAAAATTATTACTAGAGAATACTAATTCTCTGAACTACCTGCTGGGATAGAGCTAAAGAATCCTATAGTCCTTTCCAGCCATCTGTAGGCCTGTTTACAGCTAAAAAAAAAAAAAAAAGACTTTTTCATCAAGTATGTCTCAGGGAAAGAAAAACAAAACATAGTATTTATTGTTCCCCAGATGGATTTACATTTTAAAATAATATTCTCCAATTTCTTTTTCTATTTTCCTTCTGTAATTTATGCTTAAGCTATTATCATTTTGGAGCTGGTTATACAGGGTAGAAATTTTCTTTGCTTCTCCTTCAACACTTGTATCTTAGACATTTCAATCCCTTATAGCTCCACTGCTAGAAAATGAGCAAATACACAACAGAGAAATAAAAATAAATCTTTTGTTTTATGTTCTTAGTCTTCTTTATAGCCAAGAGAAGTATTTATTTTCTTTTTTTAACTAAAATACAGTAGAATTGACCATTTTTTAGTGTGCAGTTCCATGAATTTTATACACATGTACAGATTCATGGAACTACCCTCCTCCCCGCAAAAAAACTCCCTCAAGCTATCCTTTTATAGTCATACCTTATCCCTAACTCCAAGGCAACTAATCTATACTCCCATCACCTTAATTTTTATTAATAATGTGTTTAATATATGTACTGATCACGTTTCCAGTGGTCTTGAATTAATTATGTAGCTTTTACTTCTAGCAGGCTTAAACTAAACATCTGTAAAGAGGAGTACGTGTCCTATTTAATTTGTGTACTTATTTTTGGAATACTGAACTGTATCTGAAATACTTCATTTCCTTTGGATACAAGCAAGTAGCATTAGAAATTTTAGTTAATTCACTATTGTCCTTATTTATTAGTAGCCAAGAAAAGAAAAAAAAATAGTGTAGATTCATTTGTTGACATTTAATAGTAATTTAAAATTACTAAGAGCAGGGCTCTAAAATTTCAAAGAGCAGGGCCTTTTTTTTTTTAGTGTGATACCCTGAATAGATAATAGTCACATGGTTCAAAATTGAAGAAGTAAAAATCCCACAAATGTAACTCCTGTTGCAATTTTTGCATCTTTGCTGAGTCAGAGAGTATGTGCACTTACTTCAATACAGTATTGCCAAATTACCTTCCCAAAAGTATGGTACCAATTTATATTCTCCATCAGCTAATATAAGAGAGCCAATTTTCCCTCAGTGTTACCAACACAGGATATTACTGACCTTTGGTTTTTAACCAATATAATTGGCAAAACATGCTGTTTGTGGTTTTAATTTACATTTTAATTATGAAGTTACACCCCTTGTATGTTCAAGAACTGTGTTTTGTCTTTTCTTCATCTCTTTTGCTCATTTTTCTATTAGTCTGATCTTTTATCAATTTGGAGAAATGCAGTGAGAGATCAGCCCATTTCTGTAAGAGTGTTTTCCCACTTTCTGTCTTTTGCCTTTCTTTATGGTGATTTTGACCCACTTACTAAATTGCCATTGTTGATTTATATCAAATTTATCAATTTGTTATAACCCTCTGTTTCAAAAAGGTCTTTTCCACTCCTAGTTTAAAGAATTTTCCCATATTTTATTCTCGTTAGTGTGCAGTATATTTAGGTATTGGATAGTTCACTCAAATAATGAATTGCAAATATAGTTTATTTTTTCAGATATCTTTACCTCTTTCTTTTTTGAGGCATATGGGTTATTCATGAAATTATTTTGTTAATTCTGAATAAAATATCAAATACCAAATTGACATATATTAATTGGCATCTTCTTACTCCTATATTTTTATTTTTGTATTTCAGCCCTGGTACCTGACAGTGTAAAGAAGGAGCTCCTACAAAGAATAAGAACATTCCTTGCTCAGCATGCCAGCCTTTAAGATTGGATGAGATTGTGTTGTTTTGTGGTTTTATTTCTGAAAGTAAAACTTGCCATAAATTAGGAATCAATTTCCCAAAATAAAATCCTTTTTTGTATGATGGTATACAGTTTTCAGTAATGATGTATACATTGTATTGATTTTTTCCCTAAATGTGTTATTTTAATAAATATCTCATGAATGAGTTTGAAGTTTCCTTGGATTTTGGAATAAAAGGGACTTTATTAATAATATACCAGATTTGTTCAGAGGAGAATTCAGCAATTGATATAGTTTAAGTGTTAAGTATGTGCATATCTCTGTGCTAACAACTGAGGAGGAGTAAGCAGGCTCTTCTTAATGTCTGGATGTGGTGTATCCCTCTTTTGAATCTCTGCTATTTTATAATACATGTCCCATCTTGTACTACGGATGTCTTATTTCTGATTTGTTATAAATGCTGAGGGTTGGGACTGGGTCTTACTCATCTTTATGTGCCTTCCTTATTCCTCAAAGAATTTACCATCCTATTGGAAGAGAGAACATTTGCAAACTGGCTCCACACCAAGCTCCTCTTTCATACTCTACTCATCTGAACTTTGAGAGCAGAAACTCTAAATTGCATCCCCACATATTAAGGTCAAGAAAGAACTTTATGGGAAATAATCTCCACCTGTAGCTTTACTCTGACATCAAGATTGCCAAATCCAATGGACTTTTGTCTGTTCTTATGTGACCTCTGCTGGAATGAGAATGTTGACCATCCTGCCACTTGGAACTTTCTTCCCACTACTCACATTGTGTATTCCTACCACTGGAAGTTCCTTCTGTGTCTTGTGGATACCTTTTGCTGTATGGGACTTCAAATAATGGTGTTTCTTAGTGTTCCCTCCTGGGCCCTCTGCTTGACTAATGATATACTTTCCCTGGGCAAATCCCAGGAAACTTGGGTTGGACCATGGATTCAAATACAAACTTGTTGATAAATGGTAAATTGTTTCTCTAAACCAGACTTCAACCCAGCCTCCAGACCCGTATACCCAACTGCTATGGATCAGCTTGCTTGGATGTTCCATAAACACCTTAAACTGACCACACCTAAGATAGTGACTTCTTTTCCTCCAGTAACTGCCCCTACCGTGTTCCTTATCTCTGTGAGTGGTACCTCCCAGACCTACAGATTACCAGAGCTTGTTAAAATACTGATTCAGAAGGTAAGAGATAAGGCCCAACATTCTCTATTTCTGACAAGCTCCCAGTCAATGCTTTTGCAGCTAATGGAGGACCAGTTTGTAGCAAGGTTGTCGACTGTCCACTTCTGCAGCGGGCTCCTAATGTTTCCTGCTGTTGTTTCATGCTTCCTCCAATGACTCTTCCACACTATTACCTAAGTGACCTTAACTAAAAGTCAAACCTTGTCATTTTAGTCTACCTGAAATTTCTCAGTGGTTCTTAGTTTACAACGTAAAAGTCAAGCTTGACCATAGCAACCAGGTCTGACATTTACTTCTAGTTACTCTAGAGAGTCTTCAAAAGTATCAAGTTAATTCATCCCTAAATACAAAACTTCATCAACCTAGAAAGCCCTTTTACTTCTCTCATTCCTACTTTACCTTCACAATTCAGCTTGAGTTGTTGCAAAAACATTCTAACATTCCTTTGTCTGGTTTAGATTCTCAACCACTTTTTTTCTATAAGAAGTACCTGTGCATAATTTCAACACTGGTTCTTGAACGTCGCATACATCTGGAGGAAAGGAAACGACTTTTTGACTTTGCGTGATATGTATTTGTAGATGGATGGACAAGGGAATGAACACTATGCGAGCTCAAAATAAGGTAACAATATAATTGGGTATCGTTGAGAAAAGACTTCGTGTTAATTTTTGGTTTACTGTTCCAGAGATAGAATTTTATATTTCTGATGAATTTATATTTTAAATGTAGTCTTTGAACTAACTGGACTTAATTATGTAAAGTGACCTCTCTCACACACACACGCAAAATCACAAAACCTACACAAGAGTTTGTTTCATCTCTTATAAAGCAATGATCGTTACATTCATTGTTCTGTTGCCCATAATCAAAAAGGAAACAGTCTTAAATGGTACATCAGAAATGTTAAGAACAATAGATCTTATTTGTATGTGCAAACAAACCAAAAATTGCTCATGAAGATATTTTAGTAGCTTAAAAGGAAAACGAGAAAATGAAAACAAAATACTTTGAAATGGAGCAAAAGAAAGTTGAACATAGCAATTGAAAGTACGAAAGAACATAATTTTAAAGTGATAGTGCCAAAAACTGCCCACCTCTGCGCCCACTACCTCTCGGTTTTTTTTGACTTCTTAGGAATGTCTTGTTTGCATCTAGAACCATTGATATTTTTCAAAGAAACCAACTTCTGACTCCCATCATTGATTTATGTAAACTAGGAATACCTTCTTTAAAGACCTTGCACCATTCCATGCTCAATGTCAGGAATTGAAAAGGAGAATACTGTTACACAACTGCACTGGGTGAGTACAATACTAATTAAGATTACTATAAGCTTCTCTTGTATAGGATTAAAGAAGACCTAACTAAATTATTTATGTAATCACTTTGCTTTGGCATTAAGAGTGTATCATTTGGTTGAGCAGTGCCAAGCCAGGGCCTGGGTGATGCTGGGGATTGGTAATTGGATATGGGACTTTTCCTAACTTGGTAAAACTCAAGAGAATTATGACAGTTGCTCAGTAGCTGATGTTGGAAATGATCCAGTGTGTGTGTGTGTGTGTGTCTGTGTGTGTGTGGTGTGTGTTTTAACCCTTCTTGTAAATGGCTGTGTCATATTACTCAGTGACTTCATAAGACCCTTCATATTACCATTAGAAACCACACAAAAGTCACTGGATGAATCCACCAAGAAAACTAACAGGTGCAGTCAGGCAATTTGAGTTCCAGTTCCATCTATGACACTGAATTATCAGGTAAGACCGACTCTGCTGCATAATAGGTCTGATAATGTTATCTGGCAAGAATGAAAATAATTACAAAACTGCTAATACTGTTAATAAGGTAATCATAAAAGCAATATGGATTAGAGTTACTCCTAGGAAAAACTCTAGAAATATGTAATTATTTACTATGTGTTTTCTAGATTTATAAAGATAGATGAATTACACCCTGTGTGGAAAATAGCTGCTTTTATTTTTCAGGAATTTCTATATAATATTAATTACCATGATAATACCTACAAGAATGATGGTAACCAACATATCTTGGTTGGAATAGAATAAATCTCTCTGTAACAGCGCTCAGGGAGGATTGAAATTTTCTGTAGTCAGTTTTACCCTTATTCTACTATTAACTCCTCTATTACATAGACTGTATACCATTTATCTTTGGATCCTAAGTGCCTAACAGAATAAATTCTTGGTAAGTTTTTTTAAAGAAATGAATAAATAAACGCAACAGAGAATGAAATTTGGCATGTGCCTGTTTATTCCAGACTCCAAATTGTATTTGGTTGTTCTGTCTGTCAGCCACCAGAGGGCACTTGAAGCCCGTATTTTGGTTCTACCTGGGGCTCTCTCTAATTAAGTGTGTTATTTGGACAGGCTTAATTCCAATGCAAGCCAATCAGATTTTTCAAGATGGAAGTGTTATTGAATTAAAACTTAATGCGAGGACCTCAGAATGTGCTTCTGGTATAAATTAAGATGAAGCTACTGTGAGATGTGTTATTTTACCACTATCATTTTCTGATGCCAATTCAGTATTTCAGGCAGAAATTTGATTAAAATAGCATATGCCATGACTGAAATAGTTCTATTTCAGCCATTTCATCAAAAAAAAAGCATAGTAAATTTTTAATAAAAAGTGAAAGAAAATGTCCAGTGTTATTTCCCTGTCATCGTGCTCCTCTTTTATAGTCCTTTTAGAAGGGAATAATACTCATATTTCCCTTTCTCATACTTATGTCAGTGTTTAAAAAAAGAAAGTGTAAATAGAATATTATATAGTGCCAAAACCCTGTAGACGTTCATTGAATGTTGGCTTATGATAACAATGGTAAAGAATGTCAGTTAATGAAGGCAGATAGATTCTGCACTCAGGGTGCAGTGTTTTTCATAAAATAATTTTAAGTCCAGGACCTGGTGCCAGTACTCACCACATCCATAAATGCTTTGGCTTTGTGCCTGGGATCACCAGAATTGAGTGCTAATAAATGGCTTTCAGTTACTGCATACCTCCTTAATCTAAAATTATTTGTTGAGGGCACATATTTGAGAATTTATCCTTTCTAGGCAGCTACTTATATCAATATTGGCCTTTGACCAAATAAGAGGCATAATGCAGAGTAACTGAAATAGAGACGTCCATTAAACCCCAGCCTGGCAGGTGTGCAGGCGATCTGGGTAGTGATAGACATTGTGTAATCTGAGGAGCATTCAGTTCGGCTAATACATGTGAGTGCGCACTCTGGTTCTCTTCTTGGAGCTATTGTCGATGGACTTAATGATTTCATTAGTCACTTACAAGTTCTACCTGACAGTTGCCTATCAACAACACGATTCCTTTCTGCTAGGGATGCTGAGAATATAATAAAGTATGAGAATCACGAGTGCTCTTCTTAGGAGGCGTAACATAAATTCTAAGTTATGGTAAAGGACTTTACAAGTCCTTATGTATATAATATATGCTGTTCTTCTAGCAATGGTGCTCATAAAACAGTTTTGTGTATAGCATCTATCCCCTGCATCTCACCTCAGGTGTAAACACAGGCTTTCAGCAGACCTGTATAGTGAAAAAGCACAGATGTATTCACTGATCAGCTGCCTTTCCTATGTTCCTGACCCAATTCTTTCGTGTTACAGAGACTTTGTAGAGATCTCCAGTCATCTAACCACCCCTTTATCATTACCTTCACTCCATTCATGCTCTCGTTCCCTCTTACCCACTTAGAGGAGTTATCATTCGAACTCCCTTACAATTACCCTTCACTTCCCTCACCCTTTTGTTCCCAATCACACACAGTCCTGCTTAAATATAACTACCCCGAGAGCTTACTCCCTGCATGCATCTGATCACCTGAACTTTGTTGAAGAAAACTACACAACCTTCTGGTAAGTCCCATTCTAAAATAACAAGTACAACATTCTGAAAGACAGTTAACCTGGGCTTATCAAAAATGTTAATGTCATAAAAGAATGAAAGACCAA